TCTACGTTTAATGAATCCCTTGATTAATCCTACAGATTCATAGATAGGTGCATTCAGCCCTAATTAACACAAAAGGAGGGGAGAGCGTCTCGTTGCATTCTCTAGACAGTGCATTAATTCAAGCGTGCCAATTCCCCACTGCTTGATCACTCTCGGCATCTCTCTATCTCTCTCTCTCTCTCTCTCTCTCTCTCTCTCTCTCTCTCTCTCTCATTGCTTACTTAAATAATGCAACTTTTATTCATTGTTAATGTTCTTATGTGTGCCATAAAAAACTGATCTGGAGAGAATTCGATTGCGATCTGTTTTCCACTGGTTGCACCAATGCAAAATGACCCACCCAGTTTTTACTGTACCTTGGAGATACTCTAGGCCCTGCAGCTGATGTAGTTCTTTAGCTGTGCTTGGACCATATCTGTTTTCTCGTTATGTGCCTCATTTATTTTATTTATATCCTACTTTTCTCCCCAATGGGGACCCAAAGTGATTGACATTGTTCTCTGCTCCTCCATTTTATCCTCACAACAACCCTGCGAGGCAGGTTAGGCTGAGAGGGTGGGACCAGCCCAAGATCACCCAGCAAGCTTCCATGGCAAAGTGAGGATTCTAATCTGCATTTTAGAGGTCTTAGTCTGGCACTCTAACCAGCCACTACACCACACTGGCTCTTGGATGTCTTCAGTTACTCCCCCCCCCCAATATACTTTACACACATAAATAAGCAAAATTGGGAGCGGGGGAAATGATCCAAGATACAAGTCTCTGTCATCTTGGAAAGGTCAGACTGCATGGAATTTACAGCTCTCCCAAAGCAGATCAGCGCATCCTATGTGACAGGTTCACATTTTGACCAATAGCCCTCGCTCCCCTCCAACACTTTACTTGTGTCAAATTAACATCGGAAAGAGGCATGCATTTCCCATCTAGCATCAGGTTGGGTTTTGGGTTTTTTTTGCATTCACAGTTTCAGCCCAATAAGAAGCATCATCATTCTCATCTAGTTTCATTGATAGTCCACCTTTCTCAGTGGGACTTAAGGCAGGTTACATATCTGGTAAGACCTATTCAGTCAATCAGCAAGTGAATTACGAAGTATGACAAAAACATCCAAATCTAACAGCAAAGATTCCTAATGAAACAGAATAATGCAGTGAAGCTGGGATTACAGAATTTGAAAAACTACACAAGCAACCAAAAAAAGTGTCTAAGGCAACAAAACTATCATCCTTTTCCATGTCCTGCATTTTCAATTCAATTCAGCAACTAGTAAGGATGGTTTATTCAGGTCAGGTTATAACAGAGGGTAGCTGTATCAGGATTCTGCTTTGTTCTTCTTTTACCAGGCAGTGCAAAAATGTCCCAATTAGCCAGGGTTGCCCGGTCCCCTTTGGCCAATGACAGGGGATGGGGGGAGGTTCAGTTGCCAGATCCAGGTTGGGAAGCTCCTGGAGATTTGGGGATGGCGCCTGGGGAGGACAGTAAAAAGCCCAGTAGCACCTTTTAAGACTAACAAACTTTATCGTAGCGTAAACCTTCGAGAAACACAGCTCTCTTCGTCAGATGCATGGAGCTGTGTTTCTCGAAAGCTTGTGCTACAAAGTTTGTTAGTCTTAAAAGTGCTACTGGACTTTTTAATATTTTGCAGCAACAGACTACGATCTACGACCGTGGGGAGGACGGGGACCTCAGTGGGGTGTGCAGTGCCATAGAGTCCACTCTCCAAAGCGTCCATTTTTCTCCAGGGAAACTGATCTCTGTAGTCTGGAGATGAGCTGTAATTCTGGGGAATCCCCGGGTCCCACCTCGAGGGTGGCATCCCTACAATTAACCGGGGCCAAAACAATAGGGAGAGTGATAGAGGGAAGTACCTGCTGAGTTTCCACTTCTCATGCCATCGTTAATACCTCAGAAGCCCTACAAGGAAAACAGAGAGAAAACCACGCCATCTACGGCTTTGCCAGTCAGCAGACGCCCAGTGACTTGTGCCAGCACCTCGAATTTCAGACCACAATCCCAACCTTCTAATTTACTAGCTTTGCTGATTCCTCTCTTCTGACAACGGAGAGGCAACATTAAAAATAAAACCAAACCTGGGCTTTCTACAGATAACCAGATTGTGAACGTTGACAGATCTCCCACTTAGCAAATATCCAGGCCACGCTTTGCCTTCAACTCGGCTGAGGCTCTCGGAGCTGGAGGCGAGAGGGTCGCAGGAAGGTTCCGTTGCTGTTTCCTTCCTCCTTACTGCTGCTTCCTGGTCTCTTCTAGCATGGGCCACACTCGCTGGTTTTAACCCCTAAAAGTGGCCCAGACTTAAAAAAGAAAAAGAAAGCATTAGGCTATTAAATGTGAATTGCAGGTTATATTTCATTTATTCAATTTAATGAATTGCAAAGTGCATGGATTTTCTTTAAAGTATTTTGATTTAAGAGCTGGAAAGTCCCTTCGTCTCAAAGGTTCTTCTAACAAATGTACTTAAGGATTCCTTGCCCTGAAACGATGGTTTGCTCGCTGATCCATTCATAGGAAAATCTGTAATGAGCCCAAGTTTTGGAAAGTTTAGATAAGAACTATAGAGCCACTTACATAACCTATTTATACTTAATTTGGCTTTATCTTATCACAAATAGGACAAAATGGTCCCTTAATTATTTATGGCTGTTTTTAGTTTGCCTTTTAATTATTTATTTGCTACCCTTTTAGATTATGAATTTGTTTTTAATATTGATGTTCTTAATACATTTTTAGTGTTTTGATGTGAGTCTTGGGTAATACTAATATTGTTTGGGATTGGGAAGCTAATTCAGGAAATCCTTGGCAAAGAGCAGGAGATACTTTGAATAAAATGTCCACTTTTTGCCTTTTATTTTCATGATACAGTGGTTGAGAGAATAAAGAAAGGGGGTAAAGGAAAAAAGAAGAAAATAAAATGATAAAAACACAATACCACAGGGCAATTTTTACAGATATTAAGGACAATCATTGATTTAAAGTATATAAAAAAGATGTATAACATGGTGGCTTAGTAAACCACAACAGCAGTGTACTCAAAATATTCTACTATTTCTACTATTCTACTGTTTTCTCATAATATTTTCATTTTTGTCCTGTCTAATCAATTATAAAATAAAACATAGGTAAATTCTCATTAACTTTATATATAATTCTAACATAACAGTTTATTGTAATAAATACTGTGCAAATGATAATGTGCTTAATATTTCATATAAGAGTTGTCATTTATAAAATAAACCATTCCAATATATAAATACCAAGACTGATTATAGTAAACATAAAATGCTCGCCAATTGCTCTCAAATTCATCTTTCAGTCTCCGATTAATGTAATTTGTCAATTTTGCCACAACAGCATATTCTTGCATTTTGTCTATCCAATTCTCAAGAGCTGGACAACCCTCAGTCTTCCGTTTTGCTGCAAATAGTACTCTTGCTGCAGTTAACATGTATCTAAGGAAATCATGCATTGTTCTGTCTGCAGATGGAATGCAGAAGGAGCAACCTCTGCTTTGACCTGCTGCTTTGAAGGAGAGGTGCCCTCTCTCGTAGCCAGCTCCTTAAGCATAGCTGTGGGGCTATAGTGGCCAAGTTGCAAAGCATCTCAGTAACCTCACTGCCAGATACCCACCTCCCCCATGTCCAACCCCCACCCTGGGCTTTTTGTCATCTAGCATTTTTAAATGTGAAGGAAGATTACAAATTATGCAAGAGATAATTTTATTAAAGGAAATTGCAGAAAAATAACTCACATAACATAAGGGGAAAAAACTTTGGGAGAAATTTGGTTGCAGATTCCTACATGCTGCAGAATATGGGAATACAGAAATCCATCTACCGCCAACCTAAAACAAATCCTCCTACTTTCCCCTCCCCTCTGTCTAAAAGTCAAGCTATTCTGTTATGTTAAACTAATTTCTGCAGGGGAGTAGCCCCTTGCTGTAAAGTAACTGACTAGTATTTTGTGGATTAGGCAGTTTCATCTTCAGACACAAGAAACTACTCCTGCTCAAAGCCTTCAAACCAGGAACAACTGGGTTTTTACAAGTTTAAGTAAAAGATTTTATGTTTTGTGAGGAAGGAACAGGTTAATGGTCCGTGCACAAACAGAGGATCACATTTAAAAAACGCACTGGTCAGGTGGCTGAATAATGGGATATCCTTGGTGTGGAAGTATCCCTGACTAGCACAGAAAATCACCCTATTGCAGAGGCAGCCCAGTTCTCCCTGGACAAACTTTCATCCACTGCACCACACTGAGCCTCAGATTTCAAGCTGGGGTAAAATCAGGGCTGCTAGTGTTGCATTCCTTTAACTTTGGGCCTTTGTGATTTTTACCATTCAGCTGTTCTCAGTGGCATTCTGGACATGCATTATATTCCTTATCTTGCATCGTGGAGGGAGGATTTCAAGACAATGCAAATAAAGAGCTACACCTGTGCCATTGCTGCCAGTTGTGAAACTTTTATGATAACACACATTCTCTGTCAAGGGAAGAAAAAGTGACTATTCTAGATAGAGTTTCACATGAAGGGGGGTAGTTAAATACTTACTCCTCCCTGCCTCTGAGGAGCTTTCCCCCCCCCTTCCATGTTTATCTTTACAAGGACACTGTAAGGAAGGTTAAGACTGAGAGTTCACCCACTGAATTCGGTATTCCACGAGTGGGTGTGCTAGTGCTCTAGCCACCTTGGGTAAACTTAAAGAAACAAAAAATTATTTCTGGGGAAAACATTGTAATGTGAAGCAGCCTTTCAGCCCATCCTTAGTCTCTATTGCCTTGTGTCTGTCGTGCCAGTTCATCTTGGATGTGCAGACATTTATTTGGCATCACATGTCCCTGGGGCCCAAAAAAAGCATATCATGCTCTTCTCCTTCACGGTCCGGTGACTGGACAAAATGCTCCCTTATAGATCCTCACTCTGCTGGGCAGGATCACACAGGGTCATCATCACTGTGTACATGTCCATGCATTGAGGCAGAGCTTTGGCTAAAGCAGCGGCTGCACTGCAGGCAAGTGCCGGTGTGCTCCCTGCTGTGGATTCTGTGGTGGTGAATGAGTGTAGAGCCTTGATTGAAGCCCTTCCCACACTTGGCACAGACAAAGGGTATCACCTGGCAGAGATCCTGTGCCTTTGAACAGCAGCACCAGAGACAGAAATACAACCTGCACGGAAATGTTGGGATGGAAAGAGCAGCAGTTGGTTGACTTTCTCCCTGGTGCATCACTTTTACTCCTGAACTTTCAAGCAAGTACCCAACAGGCACACATTCAGTAGTGGAAGCTGTTCTGCTGGACACTTCGTGCGCACGAAAGGCTTAGGAGCCCAACTAAGAGGGGTGGGGAAAATGCTGGTAACCTGATTTGATGGGGCTGTTTGCAATTCAGAGGGAAAGGACCACATCTTGAGAAAGCGGGAGCACTGCAGGGCCACTGACAGTTGAAAAGTTAATCCCAGCAGAGGGCTGGTCTTGCCAACAAAGGATGCTTGAAAGGAAGTGGTCCAGGCCGCTTGAGAGGGGCAGGGTGAAGATCAGCGTCACCTATTTTAATGTTGTGACATTTCCATTTTAATTATTTATTGACCTTTTCAATTCTCTCTTTATTTTTAATTTTTATTTATTTATTAAACTATCTATATCCCACCTTTCCTCATGCTTCAAGGTGGTTTACAATGATAGTTACAAACATTTCCAGTTAGAAGCAAAAATAAAATAGCAAACACAAATTCCCCCCCCCTCCACTTTAAAATATGCCTGCTAGTCACACCTCCTCTAAAGCCCTGGCAAGCAGGTAGGCCTCGCCCACACTTCCTGAAGATTTCCCAGGGAGGGAGCCCATTCCACAGAGCCATGATGAAAAAGGCCCTGGCTCTGGTTGCCAGACAGGCCATCATAAGGGGTGGGACAGCCAACAGCTGACTGCCTGGCTTCACCCTGGTTGGGAAATTCCAAAAAGGAGCATAAAAACCCAAAATATCATGACTCACAAGTATTTTGTTAGCCTATCCTTTCAAGCCTGAGTTTTTAAGCTCTCAAAATCTGGGACAAACTGGTTGGGGTGTGTGTGTGTGTGAATAATACTATTTAGCTCAGAGGTTAAGATGCTGAGCTGCAGACCAGAAGGTCAGTAGTTCAGCAGTTCGAGACCCGAGTGCCGCATGACGGAGTGAGCTCCCGTCTCTGGTCCCAGTTCCTGCCAATGTAGCAGTTTGAAAGCAAGAAATTGCAAGTAGATAAATAGGTACCACTTCGGTGGGAAGGTAACAGCGTTCTGTGCACCTCGGCATTTAGTCATGCTGGCCACATGACCACGGAAGTCCTTGGACAGCGCTGGCTCTTTGGCTTGGAAACGGAGATGAGCATCGCCCCCTAGAATTGGATTCGACTGGCTTTCAAGCAAGGGAAACCTTTATCTTCAGCAAGTAAAGTGCTCCATAAGGTAGGGTGGGACTCAGGCAGAGAGAGCAGTCTAGCTAAGACAGCCTAAGGAACTTGCAGGTGAGATTTGAACAAGCCCTCCCCCTTCCCAACTACACTTATACTTTTAGCCACTACGATAACCAGCTCCCAAGATGCCACTTTAGAGGACAGCCCTATTTGCAAGCAAAATGCTTTTAACCCCCCCCCCCCCAGTCAACTATATGGGCCAGCAAACTAGAGAATCACCTCACTGGATCTTAAGTGAAATCCTCAAACGCCTCCTGAAAGCAACGCTTCCTTAGCCAACTTGAGAGCAACAGCTGAGAATGCAGGATATAAGTGTTTAAAATAAAAATACTAACAGATTTTTTAAAAATGCAAATTAATCGCCTTTAGGGTTGCTTAGAGAAGTCTGCCCGGAGAAAGGAGAAGCCAAACTTGAAACTGAGCAGGGCTTCCAGTGTGGTGGTGATCACAGGCTGGGGTTTGCACAGCTGCCTGCCCTTACCCCCCCCCCGGTTTTAGGGAAGCAGAATCACTTACACAAAATGCACAACCCAATATAAATTAGCTCCATTGGCACCGTTTGTTCAGGTTGTCCTTTGTAGAATACAGGAGCAGAGCTTGGACCTTTTAGAAGTCTCTAAACCAGCGAGCTGGGGCCGGAAAAGCGTTTGCTGAAATGCGGGGGAGAGAACCCGGCTTTTCCAGTGTTGCTGCAATTATTCTCCTCCTCTGACAGAGCTGGATACCAGCAAGAAGACCAGTGCTCCAGGGCACAGGAGAACATGAAGAGGTTTTGTATGCAGATAGGTACAGCCTGCGCTCTGCAACCAGAGGTGTTCCTGCCTGCCGGTGCAAACTCCCCCTCCGTCCGTCTGAGCTGCCCGAAGCGTGTGGCTTGCCCAGATTTATGCTGAAGTGTGTTGGCCACCATTACAATGCAAATCACGCCTGCATTTTTAAGAGGCAGAAAGGTTAAAAACATTCTCTTTCTAAATCAGCATAACTCGGACTGTGCATGTGTGTACCATATTTTAATTATCTAGCTGTTATGGAAGTACATCAGTTGGCCTCACCAATGAGCGAGTCAGCAATGACCAAGTAATTTTATATATACACATATGCATTTTGTTGTTGTTGTTGCTCACTTGGTCAAACCAAAGTAGAAGGCCACATTCTTCCCTTCATCCAAACACAGCACTATGTACACCCCCTGTCCCCCATCGTCCCCTTCCCTCTACAGAAAGGGGATCCAGCAACAAAAATCCATTACTCGAAACTGATTTCTGGGCCCTCACCCATCGTTCCAGTATTCCTATTGGTGTTTTTCAGAAATGCCAAACCAAGCGGGAGAGGCTGTTGTGGCTCACTGGCAGAGCATCTGCTTGACATGCAGAAGGTCCCAGGTTCAATCCCTGGCACCTCCGTTTAAAAGGACCACACGGGAGGTGATGTGAAAGACCTCGGCCTGAGACCCTGGAGAGCCCCTGCCAGTCTGAGTAGACAACACTGACTTGGATGGACCCAAGAGTCTGATTCAGTATAAGGCAGCTTCATGTGAAGCAAACATCAGAAATGTTCTTTGCAGAGGGCAGGGAACAAGTCAGGAGAGGTAACTGAGAATGTCTTCCTAAAGTCATCTCGAGGCACTGAATTAAACCCATTCTCTCTGAGAATTCAGGCGTGCCACAGACACCCTCCTCCAGCCTGTTTTATTTATTCCTTCAGAGCCAAAAAAAGCATGACTTTAGGAGAGGAGCTGATAGTACAACGGAAGTCCTGGGGAACTCAACGCCATGTTCATACAAAAACCCCAAGCTCACCCTTTCACCTGTGGATAAACATTTGGGGCTCTCACTGGACATCATACCCCCCCCCCAGTCCACATCCAGTCCTATTACTGATTTTAATATTCAACAAGACTCTCTTTCTAACCATGAGGAGGTTCTGATCGAGTCCTGCATCCTCCCCGGCCACTGAAGCCCTGCTGTCCCACTCCACAGTGTTCTCGCTACGTCCAACAGCTGTTACCACACTCGGTACAACTATAAGGCCCCTCTCCCAAGGGCGAGTCTGTCTGCTCTCGATGGCTAGATTCCAGGCGGAAGCCTTTCCCACACTGGCTGCAGATCAGGAGCCGGCTACCCTCTTCTCCGTCGGCATCATTGCTGCCATTAGAGATGCTGGCATTGGCACACACGGCGTCGTGACTGGCACTGTGAAGGTCATCATCATCATCAGGGCTATCGTCATTGGCACAACCAAGGCTGATGCGATGGGTCTTGACACCGACGTTAGCATGAGGTATGTCAACACCGCTGAGAAGGTCATGTTCGAGACCAATGCCGGTGCCCCGGGCACCGGCGTGAGTGCGACGGTGGCGAATGATATGTGAGCTAAGCCGAAAGCTCTTCCCACACTCAGTGCACACGTAAGGTTTTTCTCCCGTGTGCACCCGCCAGTGATCCACCAGGTTTGAGTGGTGGGTGAACCTCTTGCCACACTCAGCGCAGCCGTATGGTTTCTCGCCCGTGTGGGTACGCCGGTGATTGGCTAAAGTCGAGCTTCCGGAAAACCGCTTGCCGCATTCCTGGCACTGGTAGGGCTTCTCTCCCGTGTGGGTCCTCTGGTGGCGCGTAAGGCAGGAGCTCCCGGTGAAGCGTTTGCCACACACGCCGCACTGGTAGGGTGTGACGCCTGTATGGCCACGGCGGTGCAGGTTGTAGTTGGAGCTCTGAGAGAAGGCCTTGCCACACAACTCACACCGGTAGGGCCGCTCGCCGGTGTGGAAACGCCGGTGCTGCAGGAGGTTGGAGCTGGCTGTGAAGGCCTTGCCGCAGTCCCCGCAGACATAGGGGCGCTCCCCGGTGTGCGTCCTCTGGTGCTTGGTAAGGGCTGAACTCTGGTTGAAGCTGCGGCCACAGTCCTTGCATCGGTAGGGCTTCTCACCTGTGTGGATGATCTGGTGCTTGGCCAGGTTGGAGCGGCGGCTGAAACTCTTACCGCAGATGCCACACGTGTTTGGGCGTGAGGAAGGTGGCTGCAGGGATGGAGATGGATGAGATAACATTAGAAGCAGCTTAGCCTGCATACACAGACAAAAGGCAACCGGAGACGGTATTTTCGTGACTGTTACTGAGGATGCTATGCCCCTAGTTCTACACTCTTGCAGAAAAGGAACATTAAAATGACTGAAGTCCCACAATTCTCCAGTGTTCTGTTCTGCCTTCCAGACAAGAGCCCGCCGCTGTGTATGTGTGGTGGATAGAGGCAACCAACGAAGGGCTGAAAGACGTGCTATTCCAGAAATCATCCTGTGAGCAAATCATTCAATGGGTATACACACTCATCTTTTAAAAGAGGGTTCCTTCTCCTCCCCGGGTGCTTAAAAACTCTTCTTGCAATAACAACAATAAAAGGGCGCTGCAGGTCAGCTGAACGGAAGAACGGGGTTGCTCGAAAAGCTCTCTCCTTCCACTTAGAAGGCCTCTCATACTATCACCCCCTGTATTAGTAAAGTGGGTGTCCTGCATGCGGACATGCCTGGTGTCAGCCTCACCTGAAATTTAGAATAACAGAAGGGAATGTATTTCTCTAATCTGGGGGCAGAAGAGGATACCAGTGCGGCCAAGCACTTGTCTCCACTTCTAAGGGAGGGTGCAAAGCAATTACTACGCATGCTTGGGAATGGACAAATGCAAGACAGCTCACTCACCCCCTTCCTCATTCAAGAGGTAGTGTCTTAGTAAATTGATTTTGGCATTACATAAACACCAAGAGGATCCGTTAAGACTGACATGTCAAGCCCTGACCTGGATAGCCCAGGCGAGCCCGATCTCGTCAGTTCTCGGCAGCTAAGCAGGGTCAACTCTGGCAAATACTTGGATGGGAGACCTCCTTGGAATACCAGAGGTGGGAGGTGGAGCAGGCTTTATTCAGCCACCTCTCTGAAGATCCTCCAGGCCCTCAGTAGGAGTCAGTCATCAGAGGTCACCATGACTTCCAGGTCCGTGCACACACACGCACACATTTTAAAAAATCCAAAAAAAGAGTGACATGTCAACTCATCCATCTCTGATTTTAATACATTTATTTCCTCCACTTGGCTGGAACTCAATCCAACCAAATGGTGACCATATAGCCTAGTTTGTTATTCCATTTGGGCCATAAACCTCATCAAAGAATTAATCAACACCCCCAATTTCCCCCTCATTCCCCTTCTATCTTTACTCTTTTGGGGTATAAAGTTAGCCGGAGGATCTTGGCTCTTTGTTCCAGCTGTTGGGTCCCATCTCAGTGGGCTCCAGGAAATGCCCCCAAACCCCCCATGTGGGAATGCGTGACTCTGCTTCGGCTCTGCTACCCCAGCGTTGGTGCCTGTGAAGACAGCGCTCTGCTCTTGCACCCCACTTTCACCTACACTGCTTTCCCGTTCTCTGACAAACGCTATGCTTCCTCCTCTTTGTTGGGGCACAGAAGGGTCTGGGGGTGCGGGAAGGGGACCAAAATACACAAGCAGTTAAAAGGTGTTCATAGGCCCACTTTTTTAAAAACCTTAGAACTGCCTTGAAAATGTTTCTTGCACCTCAGAGGCTGCTCGGAAGGGAAAGATCCTACCGGGTGCCACTTCTCTCTCCACTGCATCACAACGACAGGAAAAGCAACACAAGACTAAATTTTATGTGGCACCTACCATATACCACAATGCTGAGGGCTGAAATGAAAGGATCATTTGGTAGCTGTTACCACTTTTGAACCCTACAAGGGCCCGGAAAGTTAGATATGCCAATGTAGGAGCACAATGGTGTGGGGGGGAGAAATACATAAAGGAGGCCACAGAGAGACCTCCGGTTGCCAAAGCTCACCAGAAAAGCTGGCTTTGGGGTGCAGCTTTAGCAGCAACTGAACCTTCAGTGCTCCCAAGGATAATGGAGACAACCACCACAGGACAACCCTTGTATCAGACTCATCGGCCACAAACGTCTCCCCAACACTGCTCTTTACTCACCAAACCTCCGCTCAGCGGGATGATGACCTTCTGAACTTTGAATTCTTCATCTTTCTGTTCTTCCAACTCTACTTTCATCTCCAGCCCCACTTCTTTGGAAGGCAATTCCTGAAGGACCACAGGATCAAGCTGCAAGAGATTGGCAAGGGGAGGATAAGGCAAGTTTGTATTTTTAAAATAGCTAAACACTAATATCCTGGCCCTTTTGCCCACCCAAGTGAACCTCCTACGCTCTTTAGCCAGCTCGCTATCCCACACACCTCCGCTTGGAACTCCTGATCCTCTTCCTCATATTTTTCCTTCTTCACTCTTCTAAGTCCCAGCTTCTTCTCACCGCCATCTGCTTCCTCAGAAAGCCCATCTGGAAAGGCCAAGGAACCTAGCTGGAAAAAGAAACCAAAGAACATATTGCTGACCGTGTTTCCCAAGATGAGTGAGGCGTTGAGAAGAACAGGACCACGCAGCTTGGGAGGCGTCGAGCCCAGCCCAGTGCCGACAGCAGCCATGTGCCGTAGTCTACCAGGGGAGCACAATGCCAGAGCAAAACACAAACTTATGGAGATGCCGCAGAGCCATCATGGCAACCAGTGGTGGGTCACAACAACTCACACAGGCCAGTCTTAAGGAAGTCCAAACAATGAAGCCACAGCCTTCTTCACAACACCTCGTAGGATGCATCCTGAAGCTAACACACGTAGCCATTGATTTGGGGTTACAAAAACCTTCACAAGAAGCCAGCCTGCCTTAAAGATTTCAAAGTGCTGAGAAATACTGGGCTGGATCCCAGAGTACAGCAAGCAGGGAGAGCTTGCAGAGGACGTTCTTCCCCAGCAGAATGTTGCGTGCCTTGAAAATTCACAGCTGAAGGTTGAGGGGGACCAAAACGCACCGTGACACCAGCTTGGGGGGCTTGGAACAAAGACGGGGGAGGGATTGGGGGGGATGCCCCCCCCCCATATGTGGCAGAGTGCTTTCTGTATGCCCAAGAGAGAGATGGGAGATTATTCCGAGTGATTGCCCCTCCTTTCTGCACCCCACCACTGTGCATTTTGTTTGAGGGTCCCCCAGCCTTGGACAGAAGACTGAGGGGGGCACAGTGGGATGCTGAGGGAAGGGAAAGATGAGCAAACATCCCCTTCTGCCCACTCTCCTGCTCTTTCCTCCCCTTGGCTGAAAAACTAAACTAAAAAAACTAAAAGGCAAGGAACTAAAAGGGTGAAAAACTAACAGGCAACCTAAGTTGGCCACCAGTATTTTTCTTCACCATGTCTGCACATGCAAATTCACAGGTCAATGGGCCTAGTGGTAGTGTTAACCTCCCTTTCGTGCTTCCTCATCCGGCTGGGTCCCCTCATGGATTTTTTTGGTCTGCATGGTGGGACTACCCATTGCTATCAGACAGATGGCAGAGACGTTAACTATTCCCAGCGCACAATGGTTACTCACGCAGTCATTTCCTGGGATTTGGGCTACCCATTGCTATCAGACGGATGGCCGTGCACAATGATTACTCACGCAGTCATTTCCTGGGATTTGGAGCATCTTCGCCTTGAACTGAGGACCCTCATCCTCTCCTTTGCCTGGCATGATGAGGAATTTCTGCTTCTTTGGAGAGGGCTGAGGCTGAAAGAACAGGCAGATGGAGGGAATGTGGTGAGGCAGAACACCCATCAGCTCTGCGAAATCAGGACAGACACATCTCCACACATCGGAAGAAGAGGCGAGGTGCACTCACGGGGTCTGGTTCACTTGAACCCATCCTCCCACCCTCACATATCCATACGACAGAGGTCCACGGAGTCTCAATTCCTTGTCCTTCTCCAGGTCCAGCATGCTGTGGGAACCCTGACAGTCGTTCCCATGTCTTGTCTAAACCCAACGCTACATCTTGGTTCACCCTTTTCCAAAACCCGATCCACCCCTAAGCAAGCTGCTCTTAGGCTGCTGGACATTCAAAGAGAATATTGACCCAATGATGCCCGAGGCAGACCTGCGCTCCTGCTTCTCCTTCCCACCCCCGCAAACAAAAAATGCCTCCTATTTTGTCCTCCGAGCTCGATTATGGTTGCACCTGAATGTCTTGGGTCCCTTCTGTGCCTTTCTTCACTCGAGTTCTCAGCCTTTTCCTTCGTGTCCTTGAGGCTCTCTCCTTATCCTTCATCCATGATCCATCCACGTCCAGCTTGCAAGAAGAGAGAGCAAGGGGGAAAGAAACTAAATAATATGGCTTAAGACCAAACTGAATCCCCAGATATTGCAAACACCTCCCACTGGTCCTGCTCTGGTCTTCCTGTGCTGTTGGTCACCTAGCACCAAGGCGGCTTTAGTTATATCAGTCTGAGTAGAAAAAGATATGTCTTAAGCCTCTTTCACAGAAGAGCCTTTCCCAAGAACCTTTTCAGTAGCTCTCTGTTACTCACCACACTTCCATCTTGAACCAGGATTGCCGTGTCTGACGCAGGATTCTCCTCTGGCTTCTCTTCTTCCACATCCTCCTTGCCATCATCCATTGTGGATTTAAGGGCAGAAATGAAGGGCTGGGGAGGGCAGAAGAAACACCAGTGACTTCCACCCTTGGTGTATTTATTTGGAAGCAAATCCGATTGCAATCTAACTGTCCAGAGTATATCCTTCCCTAGAAACCAGAGACACTTTTTTAGACGTACCACAACTGTGTGAGGCGGCTGCGTCAAGAAACACACTTGGCCAAAACTGTTCACCCATTTAGCTCTGTAGCAGAACAGGGATCAAGGTCTCCCATTTTCCCACCTCCAAAAGCATCACTTTACCCAATGCACCTCCCTAACTGTCAAGCAACAGGGTTTACATCTGAGTAAACTTAGTTTGGCGCTGGGGGAGGACAGTGTGGTGTGGTGCCGAAGCTCAGACCTGCCTGGAAGGCCAGACCCAACCCCAAATTTGTGGCCTTGGCTTCATAAGAGATAAGGGTTGCCTTACTATTCCTCAGCAGTACAGGAAATGCACTCTGCACATACACAGAGGCACACTCTCTTGAATTAAGCTGTCACCCTTCTTGGGGAACCTAAGCATCCAGTTTAATTTAGCCTAATGGCATGAACGAAGAGGGATAAGGAACAAATACGGGAGGGGCCGTAGGGAGATCCCCCCCCCCGGGTGGGTCTGTATTCAAAGCAACAGCTGCTTCTCCAACCCACGAAGGAACGCCTGGATCCTCTCCCCACCCCCACCCCCGCCACGTTCCTCTGGGTATGGGCGGTTTGGGGAGGCTGGAAGGACACAGATCAATTCCCCCGACCAGCAGCAACTCCGGGAAGGAAGTTGGGCGAGGGAGTGACTGCTTCCTGCGATCCTGGCTCGCTGGCGCCCATCCCGCTCGTCTTCCCCACTCACCCGGGCCTCCGGAGGAGGAGGAGGAGGAGAGAGAAGAGGTGATGAGGAGCGATGAGGGGCGGCCGAGCGAGATCCGGAGGCTCCCTTCGCTCTGGAGAGCGTAACGGGGGCGCGCTGCGCTCTCGCCGCGGGTTTTGCGCGTCTCTCCCCGAAGTGGAGACCCCGCTTGGAATGGGGGAGGGGAAGAATGCTAGGTAGCTGGGGAAGGGGGGGGAGGGTGGAGATGACAGAAGGAAGGTGCCGCGTGCAGATTGGCTAACGGGCCTCCCCCCGCTTCTCTCTCATTGGCGGAGAGGTTGGGCAGCGAGGGAGAGTGGCGGCGGCGGCGGCAGAGCGTTTTCCTGCCGGAGCGGAGCAGGGGAGGGACTCGCGAGTTCGGCGCCCGCCCACTTTCCTTCGCCTTCTGAAGCGACGACTCTGCTGCCCTTTGAATCCCGCAGTCGGAGTGTAATCGGAGCCGGCGCCGGGATCCGGACCCCCCGACCCCGCCAGGACCCCCCCCCCCCCCCCGATAATGGGGAGTAACAGTCGCGAAGAGAGCATGTGCAAAGTGCCTTTCCCTCAGCGTTCAGTAACCACACCCTTCCTATGAATTTGAGCTTCCAGGGTCATAGCGGGGTTGAACCGTGAACCATCTTCAATACTCAGGGATGAGGCGATTCATAAATCCAAATTTTAAATAAATAAACTATAAATTCAACTCTGGTTTGAAACAAGTGGTAATTAAGAGAGTGCTGCAGAGCACATGCAAAGTGCCAGCTATCATCTTATTTCACATAGCCGCGCCAACGGATTGCCAGCAGGGGCCAGCAGCAAACGGGGCATAGACGCCAAGATCGCTTTCTGATATTGCCTCCTAGCACTGGGATCCATCTTATTTCACATAGCCGCCAACGGATTGCCAGCAGGGGCCAGCAAACGGGGCATAGACGCCAAGCTCACTTTCTGATATTGCCTCCTAGCACTGGGATGACTACCCCTGAATATTTTTATGTCTTATTTTTATTATTTCTTTAATTCATTTATACCCCACCTTTCTCCCCAACAGGGCCCAATTCTCCTCCATTTTTTCCTTACAACAACCCTATGAGGCAATAGAAAAGAGCAAGTGTCCAGTAGCAGAAGAGTACCCCACCCAAAGGAGTCTCAGAGCGGCTTAAAATCGCCTTCTCTTCCTCTCTCCACAACAGACACCCTGTGAGAGAGCTCTGAGAGAACTGCTCTCGAGAGAACAGTTCTGAGAGAAACTGTGACTGACCCAAGGTCACCCAGCTGGCTTCATGTGAAGGAGGAGTGGGGAATCAAACCCAGCTCTCCATATTAGAGTTCTGCCCCTCTTAACCACTACCCCAAATAGTAGCACCTTAAAGACTAACAAAATTAGTGGCAGCTCACTTCCTGCCACAAATTTTGTTAGTCTTTACGGTGCTACTGGACTCCTGCTCTTTTCTACTGCTACAGACTAGCACTTGATCCGTCCCTATTAGGTAGGTTAAACTGAGAGCATGACTGGCCCAAGGTCACGTAGTGAGCTTTCATGGCCTTTAATCCTCATGACCAGTAGCCACCGAGGGACCTCTCCGCCATTAATCTGTCCAGCCCTCTTATAAAGCTATCTGTGTGCTCTTGGCCATCACAGCCGGGACTCAGTCCTGTTAGGGCAGGGTTGTGTGCTTGCGTCTGAGAGGGCACTTTCTCACTTCCTGCCCTTGCTTCTGGTTCCACCCCCACCCCCAAACTGAACTCAGCCTATCACATTTACCTGTGGCCTGGGGCACCAGTAAAAGGCTCTCTACGCATGCGCAGAGTGCATGTCTGCATAGTTGCAAGCAGCTTGGCACATGTGAGGTGCTTTGAATGCAAGTCTTGCTTTCTTAAAAAGAAAAAGATTTTATTTACTACAGCTTAACAATCTACAGCACGTTACACACACAGGCTGTAGTAGATCTAAGAAAAAGGAAAGCACACCCACCAGTCTAACTGAGGGTTACAGTCATTAACCCACAGACTGGGATATTGAGATCTCTATTCCTATTCAGACCCGACAAAAGGAGCTTTTTGACTCTCTAAAACTCACCCCCTCCCCCAAATCTTGAATCTAGTTTGGTGTAGTGGTTAAGTGTGTGGACTCTAATCTGGGAGAACCAGGTTTGATTCCCCACTCCTCCACCTGCAGCTGCTGGATGACCTTGGGCAAGCCATGTTTTTGTCAGAGCTGTTTGTGAAAAGAGCAGTTTCTGTCAGCTCTCTCTCAGCCCCACCCACTTCACAGGGTGTCTGTTGCGGGGAGGGGAAGGGAAAGGAGTTTGTAAGCTGCTCTGAGACTCCAAGTGAATCCAATCTCCTCTTCTACTGCAGACCAACACAGCTGCCATCTGAAACCGCCATTACCTCAGCATCTCTCCTTTAGAGGCATCACTGGAACAAATGCATGGCCCAGAATCTGAAGTTAATGGATTGCTCATATCATTTAACACTTCCTGCCCTAGTAGGTGAGAAGTTCCTCACTTAATCTTGGTTTGGGAGTCTCACCCACATCCACCCTCGAGCACCCACCCCAACAGGTTCTATTTCCCAGCTCGTGTTTTGGCAGTAGCCATTTGTCTTTCCCCTTCCTGCCAGTTTGGGCAAATGGATATAACTTTGCAGAAAGCGTTGCTGGCAATTTGAGCATTTTATGGTCCTTTTCCCTGGGAAAGAATGCTGTTTTCCAGAGCTTTGGGGCCCATGGTCCCCAAAGCACCTTCCAGCTCACTGGCATGACAATCACTCCATTCACTGGGTGATCTCGCAGTTTAATTACCAGCTCAATGCAACACAACAAATGCCCTTCCATTCTCTACATAGGGCAAACAGGCTAAACCCTACCCCAAAGGACAAACAAATACAAATCTGACATTAAGAGAATTACAATACTGAAGAAACCTGTAGGAGAACACATCAGCCTTTCAGGACATTCAGTGGATGACTTCAAAGTAGCTGTTTTATTGCAAAGGAACTTCAGAAACAAACTGGAAAGGGAAACTGCTGTTATTACAACAGTCAGAACAACCCCCCCTCCAGGACTTAACAGGGATATTGGTTTATTATGTTACTACATATGTTAATCTCATTCAGTTCTTACATCTGTATTCTCACCAAAAAGGGCCATAAAGGTAAAGGTTTCCCTTGCTCAAAAGCTAGTCGAATCTGACTCTAGGGGGCAGTGCTCATCTCCGTTTCCAAGCAGAAGAGCCAGCACTGTCTGAAGATGTTTCCGTGGTCATGTGGCCGGCATGACTAAACGCTGTTACCGTCCCACCGAAGTGGTACCTATTTATCTACTTGCAATTTCTTGTATTCGAACTGCTGTGTTGGCAGGAGCTGGGGCAAGAGACAGGAGCTCACTCCGTCACACAGCACTAGGGTCTCAAACTGCTGAACTACCTTCCGGTCTGCAGCTCAGC